ACACACGAGTTCTCCGGCAAAGGCAGAGGGCAAAAGCTATCCTGGTTTGTGCTTTGCTGTTGCAAAATAATGGAGAATGAAACAGAGGAGAGATGTGGGGACGTGTCTATTCCAAATGTGGGACATATTTACCCTCAGGTCCCAGGACTTCTTCTCTTCTCCTGGCACAGCCCTTGCTGCCTTGAACGATCAGCCTGTGCAAGTCCCTATGCTGAGCGAATATTGTTTAGCCTCAGTGAGGCTGGACAACGAGGGAGTTTGCTAAATGCGCCTGTCTTTAAGGGAAAAAAGGACCAAAAATGCCCCCCAGAGAGGTTGGCGTCAGCTCCCCGTGGGGTCCTGCTTGCTGCATTTCTCCGAAAATGAAGGGAGCATGGTTCAAAGAAGAGGGACTGGTGTTGGTCCAGGTAAAGGAGAGACCTGTCATCCCACATACTGAGTGGTAATGGCACTGCTGAAACAGTTTGCATAACTCGATTCGAAGCATCTTGCTTAGGGAGAAGGAGCCGCCAGGCTGGATGAGCTTCCCCATTGAGTCAGGGAAGATGGGCTGGAGAAACCTAAGCACAGAGAGACTTTCCCAAATGGGTGTCAGTGTTATAGCAGCACTAGAAAGGGTAGATCCCTGTCCTGCAGGGTTCCCGTACCCCAACCTGGCTTAATTCACACATCCCCTTTCTTTCCATTTCCAAACAGCAAATACGCTGAGAGGAGAAGAAAGCTGCCTGGGGCCTACAAGAGAACAGCTGTAAGTCATTGGGGAGCATGCTGTCTGCACCAGTCTGGCCCCTTTGAAGTGGGTATATTTATTATTTATCTGGGAAGCCTAAGGAGAGTTTAAAGCTCCAGTCCCAGAGTTATGAAAAACAGCAGCTGCTCTGCCAAGCCAGATTGCACAGCACCGGGTTTTCTGATGAGATTAGCTGAATGAGGTTTTTTTTTTTCTAATACTTTTTAAGCAAGCTGAATGAAAAAATAACTCTCTAATAGAGTCGAGCCTCTGCGACTCCCTTCCCGAGGTCTGCCTGCTTGCTGCAAACACCCAGCCAGCAAGAGCATTGCGGGAAGAAGCGGTGCCTCCAAAATGCAATGCCTGGCACCTGCCAGTCCATCCCGTCACCCCCTGCCTCGGAGCCGAGCATGTTGAAGTACATGGGCAAACTCCAGTTGGCGTCAAGAGGAGCTACACTGAGCCCCCCAAAGCTAAGAAATGGGAAATAAATGATGCAGTGTCTTGTTAAGCATGCTGGCCATAACCAGTTGAGTTGGGGGATACTCTTCCCCCTGCCCTGGCAGTTCAGGATCTGGTGCTAAGTAGCGTATTTATTTACCAAGTCTTAACACAGCGGTAAGACGCACTGAGGTGTTTGAATGGTGAAGACTATCTTCAAGATGAAAGAGTCACTCACTCCATGTTATTCTTAATAACGATGGTCCTAAGGCAAGAAATGTTCATTTCTAGCCTGTCAGTCTGTAGAGTTCATAAGATCATTTTTACCTGTACAGTTTAAGCTCCTTCCTACCACGTGGAAAATTAATGGTCTTCCTGATGTGCTGGCTGGGTCAGAGGTCTCTTTTAATTTTGTTGTGACAATCAAATCTTACCAGGCCATGCATGGGAGAATGAGCTGCTACAAGTTTGATATGCAAACCAGATGGCTGACTTCAGTGAGGCAATAAATGGAGTGGAGCTGAAGAGAGGGCTTTGGGATTCAGCCTTTTAATAATTTTGGCAATGGTTTTTCTGCCTGTACATAGAGCTGAGAAAATAAGCACGGTACGGTCAGGCGTGGGGCTACATCTCTCCGGAGTCCCAGTGCAGCTGGTGGGAGGCAGAGGCAACTTTAGAGGAATGCAATTAAGGATTTGATCTGGACCCAAGAATACCTGGGCCCTGATTTGCAGCTGCAATGAGAAATGTAGACATTCAAATGACTTCAAATGGTACCTGCCGTTGACTTGGCAGCTTGGCGTTGTAGGGGCAAAGTTGGAGGTTCAGATAAAGGTGAGACTTGATGTTTGGCCCCTAATGCTCTTGTCTGTGATGCCTCTATGTTGGTTTTCCATCCTCTTATGGTCACATTAGGATTAATGGGAGGCTACCAGGATCCTCCTGTATCAGTCCACTCGATGTTGGGAGGCAAGCAGCACTCCTAATGCCGAGGAGCATACCTGCAAGCTGACTTTCATATGAATTTCTAGAGGAAACATCCAACTTTTAACCAAAGCTGAAGGTTGGTGCTGCAGCTGTAACGTCAAAGACTGCCCTCCCGTTTCAGTCAAGCTGCAACTGAGATGGGAAAGATGGACTTGGTGTTAACACCCTTTGTCTCAGTGCATTGCTATTTTTCATTGTACTTGAAGCTTAACCGTAGGCAGAAATCCATCTCTGCAACCAGATTTTGAACATTTTCCTTGCATTTTAATACTATCACTTCCAGGTGAAAATCTCCCTTTGCTGAGGGGCTGTAGGAGTCCTATGTAGCATGCAAGTCCCACTTGCACTCTATTTTGAGTGGGGTTTAAGTGGCACCTCAGACATTTTCTAGTGAGTTTTACACTGGGGGCAATCTTGAAGCAAAGTGATCGTTCCCGGTGGGTTAACTGGCACTGCAAGGTCCTGGATAATATTTCAGCTTACAGCCCATGGAACAGCTTGCATGCGAGTTATTAACAGGGCGATTTGCTGGTGGAAGATATGAAGAAGGGCTCTTCCTAGATCCTGCCTTTGTCTCTTTCTTTGAGAGCTGCAAAAGAAAAGATTCATCTTTTTTCTGACCTGAAAGTTGTAGGAAGGGCGTGAGCTGTGCACCGTCTGAATGCAGCTATCTCCCCACCACACTACATAGAGTCAATTAGAAAAGTAGGAGCAGGGAGAAAATGTCAGTACTGCAACCCCAACTTCAAATGAGGTCCTAGTCTTTTAGTGAAGCAGAAATCCCAAGGGGAACTAGATGCTGGATGACATATTTTTATGTCTTTTTAGGTCACTTTAGATCTTGGGGTATAGCATGATCCATTAAGTGCTCAGGAGCCTGGAGAGAGGGAGACATTTTTCAAAGCAAAAAATGCTCTCTCCACCTTTTCAGACTGACTTTTCTGACGACTCCCTAGCAAAGAGCTGGATGCCAGCTGTAATCTGCCATGCGAATGCAGTGACATTTTCTTATTTCAGTCCCATCCAACAGAAGTTGAGAGAGAAGCAAAAGCAAGGGATTGGAAATACTTTATTTCACGCCGTTTTAGGAAGTTTCATCGCTGTATTTCTTTTTATCCAGAAAGATTGGCTCAGAGTCCTCGGGAACGCTGCACAGAGATCACCGGCACCAACCGCTTCCCTGCCTCCCGTCCACCTCCCCACTTCTGTACAGAAAGCATTGGCGTGGACTGCGTGCTCACGCAAGCAAGGGAGGGATACAATGGGCTTGGGCTGGCGTAGTTCAGGCAGGGGTGGTGAGACATGAAACCCTGCCCTTGAGTAGCAAGACTGAACATCCCCGGCTAGTAATCTAACCCTTCATGAGGCAGGGCTGCCAATGCTGGTGTGCTGGTCATGTGGATGTAAGAGGATGAGAATTAGGCCACCGATGCCTTTTCCAGTAGGATGCGAGTCAAGCGTAGGACCTAGATCTTCGCAGCGGAAACATAATGCATTAACAAATGTAATGCATCTGTAATGAGTCCACTTTATGAAGCATCTCTGCTGTCCCAAATTATCCTCCCTTTGCTGCTCCGTCCTTCCATCCAAAACACAAAGCTAATTAGGCAAAACCCTGGGCCAATGAAAGTTAGCATCATGTCTCGTTAACACTGCCTTGGGGAGATGGGCCTGATCCTTCTGACAGGGTGATAACAGCACTGGCCAACCTCGCTCCCTGATCATCTGCAAAACTGATTGGGTTCGGAAGCATCTGTAACTGCAACAGACTTGACAAAAAAAATAAAATAAAAACCAAGCTTCCTCAAATATTGACAGACGTGCTAGACACCACAGAATATGTCTTCTCACCCCTCTCTCATTGCTCTTCACCTATAAGCACTGTGTTTAAAGGTCAATAATCCATTGAGGCTTGGAGTTGCAGAGCTTGCCAGCACGTTCTGGAGAAGTATTTTCTGGAATTTCAACCTGAACTTTCCATTTGAATTTTTGCAGGCCTGTTGGGTGTGAGCCCTAAACATCCAGCAAGGTTTCCTCAAGTCTTGGGGGTTATAAAAACAAATTGCACGTAGAAAGGAATCTTAGTATACAGACTGTATAATCACCTGTCTATTTGCAAAAGGAATTGCCGCCTAAGTAGAACTGGGTGGACACTTGCAGCTATACACAGGCAAGGTTTCCAGAAGTGACTAATGCTCTCTAAAGGCAGCTGCTTTGATGGGGGCTGATTTTCGAAAGGTGGGTGCTTTCGGACAATCGGTCTCAGCTCGGGCACCTGAAATGAAGACATCCAGAGCTACTAATGTCTTCTGAGAAGTTTGGCTAGATGCCTGCTGGTCCTACTTTGGATGGCTAGCTGCATGTCCCAAAAAGGGAGCTGGGGAATCTAATTCTGCTGTCCACTTTTAACAGTGTGGGCCCTTATGTATAACTGCAAGATTTCTAAACCTGCCTCTCTATCTCTCCTTTCATGCCATGCATTGCAGTCAGGCTGCGTCTCATTGTTCTTTGCTATAGAGCCAAAGCCCTTGGCCCCTTGAAGAAAATGAACACAACCCAAAAGCTAATTTGGATGGATAGCCATGCACTGGGAACCAACCCTGAAGACCGTGTTTAATTTGTATGTGGTCCTTACTCAGGTAAAACTCCCACTTCCAAAGTTTTGTATGAGTAAAGATGTCAAGACTAAGGCCTTATCATTTAATGTAGCTGTTTCTGCAACAGCTGTTGGGATCTGCACAGGGTGAGCGCCAGCGTGGGCTCTGGGAAGGTTGGGTGGGTGCAGCCCGGTCCCCACATGCCTTGCAACCTGACCAGTTGTGTCTACACCTTGACTGTCAGAGCATCTCCTGGGCAGGAATCCCAAATCTGACCCTTTATTTATAAAAGGACCGTCACAAGGACATACCATCCTGAATGACTTCAGGTTTAGAGGTGACCTTGCTATTTGAGGATGCATGGGCGCCTCTCTCGAGTCAAGTGGAACTAATTTGGCTGTTCTGTCTACAATGCCACCATTTGCACTGCTTTCAGGAATCGTGCCCATGTCCTTCCTTTGTTAGATATACGTCAATGAATGCCACCATGCTATGTATACACATTAATAACAGTTTCCCCCAGAAAGAAGATGCAGAAGATGAGAATGGCTTGGCAAATGATGGAACCGTAGAAGGTGTTCCCAGAGCTCTCAGGAACGATTCATGCGCAGACACACAGTAAATTATTCGGGTAGACCTGTCTCCTGCTCCGTCTCCTTCCAGGCGGCCGAAAACCCTCCGAATGGGGCAAACTTTGTTCTTGCCAAAGCTATTCTTAGATCATGCCTGCTAGCCAAGGTGGAAGGAAGAGACCGACAGTTCCCAGCAAGCAAACAATGATGAACATCCAGAGGAAGATTCTGTCAATGACCATGGCAACGTACTTCCAGTCCTCCTTCACCTGGAAATGCAGAGATGAGAGGAGCAATTAGGGCAGCTACGGTGAAAGACCGGTGCACTCATTATGCAAAGTCAGGGGTTTCTTCTATTAAAGGAGCTGAAGTAGCAGTGCGGATATGCTGAATTTGCAGTCGAGCAAGCCCATCCAATAACCCACTGTGCAAATAACTAATCAGGTACATGCAATAACCAATTTTCCATGAGCGTGGGTATGTGTAAGTTGGGCAGAGGTTCAAGCTGGAGGAAAAAGCATTTCTTTCTGCCCTGCTTAAATAGCTGAAATGGACTTAAAACCAAGTCCATTTGGGAAAGGGACTTTTCTGCTATTGCTGAGTCAGAAGTGCAAATGAGCTAGAAAAGAAGAGAAATGATTTCACTGCCTCCCCTTTGCACCCCTTGCATTTTGTGCCGGGAGGATTTTTCCCAGGACCTTTCCCCTTGGAAGACCAAAAGGTTTTCTGTACCACTGAGCTGGAGTTAGTCATCACAGATGATCTTTTTTTTTTTTTTTGATTAACCAACTGCATGCACAGGAAAAGCTTTAAAAAAACAAGGGCAAAAAACCCCTGCACTGCAGCCATTAATTTCTTTCCCAGGAAGCAGTAGGAGAAGACAGTGAAGTCCTAATTTATATGGATGTTCCCATTACAATTACCTATAATGTACTGCGTGGTGGTTAATACACTAACCACTGCCCAGGGCTCTGAGTTGAAATGTGGCAATTTGTCTTGTTGTTTGCTGGGGATTTATTAGACGGTAGCATAGCTGAAGGGTTCAGCAATTAATAACAGTAATATGTAATATTCCTGCAGGGGCTTTCATCCATAAATCTCCCCCCCGCTTATAAAGCACATTAAGTGCTATTATCTGCCCTTTATAGATGGAGAAACTGGGGTAGAGAGAGGTTGGTTATTTGTTGAAGGAAATGCAGCAAGTTGCTAGCAGCATTAGGTAGAGACTCCTAACTCCCATTACCCTCCCCTGTCCACTGTGCTTAAACTCTGACGAGTTAAAATGACACTATAATATTTCTTATTTAATTTTTTTTTTAATGGGAGCAATGTTGAGCCAGTGCTGGGCATGCTGCTGGTGCTAGCCAGGGCCCCGTGTCCTGGAAGCTGTATCATAGGCATCTTGGTGATGCCCCACAGGAGACAGGAGATGCCTCTTTGGTTAACTTCAGTCTTTACAACCTCATAATCCATGCTGCAAAATACCTGCCACTTTAACCACAGGGAATAATCAATAAGCATCCATTGTACATCGTGCCATTTTAAAACATCTACTCTTTGGAGAGTAGCTGAGATCATTTCTTAGTACAAGGTAGGCAACGAGTAGTTTTGTAAAAGCCCTTAAATACAGCTGCTTGCTTTTATGGGCTTCCTGGATTTACTGAAAATGCTCTTAAGCATGTCAAAGTGAAAGGAAGTTCTCCAAGTGTCAATGAAAAAGCTATTTCCATCTCAAATAATGGAGTGGGTTTTTGCAGGTTTTAGTGGCATCATAAACAATGTTCCAGGCATCAGCTAATAAAATATTATGATCTGTCATATAGTCAAACAAATCAGCTGCTATGAATAAAATCCAGTCACCTTCCAAACCTGCCTCTTTCCTTTCTTTATTATTAATGGACGTGTAACAGAGTTTTGTCTTATGATAAGTCACTCAAGTTCGCAGAGAAATTATGACTTGCTGCTGGCAGAAGGCAATTCTAGCTTCTGCACAATGTGTTGCGGTATTTTGTAGAGTTGGTGGGTTATACATTGCATACAAGTTTTCTGCATTTAGCTCTTGTTTTGGCTTGCAATCTTTTTTTTTTTATGAATTAATGGTAAATCTTCAACTCTATGTGCCATTGACAAAGATCATTGAATAGTTCATACAAATCAGCTTCTGGTGTAATGCAGTCACTCTATTACTTTGATTATTTTCTAATCCTATAGCTTGCTATAATTATGTAAGTCACCTGGTCTTGTGCCTGCTCCCTGCATGGAAAGATGAATGTTTTAAATAGGAAAATAAGAAATGCCAAGCACTGATGAAGGCATAACACCCTTTCCCCATGCATTGTTCCTAAGACTGCGGTTCATGAAACTTCAGGGACTCCGCACTAATAGTGTAACGCACACTATTACCTTGTATCCACCCTGCTTGTACTTTCATATATCCTTGATCCCTGGAAAGTGATGATAAATTCTGTGAAAGGAAGCTGGTAATTTGATTCTACAGTCATCTTGGACTTCTCTTCCTTTTCAAAGACATTTAACTGTGCTGAATCTAAAGGGCCAAGTGCAGAAATCATTTCCCTGCTTTATCTTAATTTATTTAAACCAACGTATGCCTAATTTTCTGTATCTTCATTCTCCAGGAGTCACCTTGAATTAATATCAACTATTCTATGAATTAGCTCAGTGGTGCAATTAAAATCCTAGGGTAATAGTCCTGTGACTGAATTTAATTCAAAGAGGAAAAACAAATATTTCAGTATCATGAGAGTAAATGTTTTGAACTCAGTCCACATATTATACAGGCCAGCTATAACATCAGAGCAGAACTGAATTGACATTGAGAAGGGCGCACTATCAACTGAGCATCTGCACTGACATTGAGAAGGGCGCACTATCAAGAGGAGGTGGTACCCGGACACAGATGGGGTACCCCCTGCAATGAGCTGTATCCATCGCATCTAACAGATGGCAACTCAGGCATTGCATTCCCAAACACACACGATGGACTGTACTCGTCTACCCACTTCAGGGGAAGGACTTGCTGAAACGATAGACTGGCGATACGTAAGGAAGGGTGATTGAGGAAATGGCATGCTGGTGACACGTAAGGAAAGCTAATGCGGCAGTAATAGGTTAAGTGCTACAATTGAATTGGGTGAGACTGCTTGCAGCTAAATATACCCCCTTCTACTTGTCCCTTGAGATGGGTGGGTCAAAATATGGTATAAGTGATATACCACAAGGAATAAAGCAACCTTGCAAAGTCCAAAGTATTCACACTTGATCCAGCAAATACTTATGCGATGGAGCCGTTCTAGTCACCTCTCTGGATGATTTAAGTCAAACATGTGTATCAACAATTTGTTGCATTGAGGCCATTGTCCTGGTAGGATTGAGCCCTTGTGCTCAGATATAGCTGGGTGGGGGGAAAGAGGATATAATGCTTATTTCTTGCTCAGATTTCCTATTCAAAATCAAAGACAAGCAGGCCGGGCATGATCCTGAATCTCATGAGCAATCTGGGGAAGGGACGGGCTCTTTGTTCTGTATTTGTACACCACCAATTACGCAGGGTCGTAATTTGGGACTGGGGTTCCTAGGCTCTATGGAAATACAATCAAGTTAAAACAACTCTTGGAATCCATGAGAAATCTCCTGCAATTGTTCGGGATGAGCCCTCTCATTTAAACGAGGCAATTTATGCGGTGATTTCCACCTTTCCCCACCCCCTTTATCAACTGGAAAAGAGCAGGTCACGCTGTCCTCTGCCTTCTTCACCACTGCTGAGAGCAATTCTGAGCTGTTCGCCGACTTGCGAGTGTCACAGTTTGACATTCAGCGTTCATGCTGGCTGCCATAGCTAAATAAGTTTGGAAATGTCATTTCTGTTCCAGGATGTTTGCAGCCCAATATTACCGACTGTGAATTTTGCGGTCGGGTGCACAACTGGAAATCCACATTCAGCAAATATTTCAGCTTTTGTGGCAAAAGGGCTTTTTGCAACTCTTTATGCGTGGCAGGCTTAGGTGCTTGCTTGTTCCAGGGAAGGAAACATGAACAGGGTTTTGAGCAGCTCTACTGAAATTTCCCTTCCAGTTTGACTATATCTGCAGAATACTCTGCTCTTCTTGACAATGACCATCTCAGTTTGCAAGAAGTATCCTTAAGTGGATATTATTCAGCACCAGAGACAGAGCACAGAAGGGAGATGGTTGAATCCAGGAGAGGTGATGGAAAAAAGAACGGGAAAGGGAGGTATTTTTGACTGCATGGTTGTCTCTCCTGCTGGCTTCAACTCTTCTTTGTATCACCCTCTTTGTAGTAATTTGTGTGGAGCACAATTTGCAGAGATTGTCACCAGCAGCTGGGCTACAGATGTCAGCATTTGACATTAGAAGTTTTGAGCCATGTTCTGATAAGTTGTTAAGAGGCAACCTCCAAGGCTGTCCAAAGGAAAGGGGGAGATCTGGCTTGTTCACAGCCCCTCGTCATCTGGAGTCTCCAAATACACGGATCTCTAAAACACCCCTATGCTCTGTCCTTGCAGACCCTAGAGTAAGGACTGGTGTGAGATGCTGATGTTCTCCAGGGATTGCAAGCTGGCAGACCAGTCCTTAAGGGGCCATAGTCTGTGGCAAAGTTTAGAGCAGTCCCAAAGGTATATATTATACCTTGTTATATAAAGCTGGTGGTAGGGAGGGCTGGTGGAGAGGGAGGGGATTCTACATCCCTTCCCTACCAAATGATTTTATTTTAAAATAGCATCAAATGTTGCACACATCTTTGAATTTGCTTTCCCTGATTAATCCAGCAAATGCATTCCCTGGCAGGACGGCTGGCCCAAGCATTTTAAGCAGCCATTGCAGACTATAAGGCCGAAAGCAAATATCCAGCTCCTACCTGCTCTACAACTGGGCAGAAAATCTAAGAGGTGAAGTCATGCCATCCAGGAACAGAAACAAGTACCGTGGGACCTCTGAGTCACATTGGAACAGCTCAGATTTAGGACGTGGGATGGCTACAGGGAGGGAATGAGAAGAAAAGCTGCAGGGCAAAGAACTACCTCAAGCAATGATTTAGCAAACAACTCTACATAAGCAATACATCTGAGAAAAGGAAATCGGCCTGCAGACAACTGAAACCTGATTCAGCCAAGGGGGGCTGACTATAGAAGTGTGTGTACATTGCTACTGACTTCGGGGGGGATCCTTCTGGCACTTCTGTTTAGTCCTGATTCAATTACCCTGCTGGAATCATGGCTAATGGGAATAGAAAAAGGTGTTGGATGTGTTGATTATTTCTGGTCACAGTTTATTTCCCCATTTCTTCCCTTTCTGTTCCTGCCCAAGTGCAGGGGGGCTGGACCCAATGATCTGTAAGGTCCCTTCCAGCCCTAACAACTATGAAACGATGCAGCTTTAACAAATGAATATCCATTGAGTTGGAGAGAAAAGAAATGGCAAAGATCTGAAGTTAGGGAAAATAGGATGGAGCATTTCAAAGTCCATACTGTGCAATCTGACTTATCTTTTCCTAAGAATACGAGCTGCGCTGGGATTCTCAGCCAGCTAGAAGATCTGAGCGCAGATGCTCTGTGTCCTACCATTTCTTATTGTACTATTCACAGGACAATTTGTATTGCACCATAATGCTGGCCTCTAGCACACTTCAAACACCAGTTCTGGAAAAAGAAGCAAAATGCAAATAGTGCAAAGCTACCAGCACTGAGCTGGGGTGCAAATTAATTACCAGCAAAACTTTCTTTGCACAGAAGAAACAACACAACCCCCAAGCCAAGATGCAGATACAGTCACCAGTAACTGCACTGCCAGACTCTTATGTGGGACTGGAAAAGGGGGTATGGCTCCTGGCTGGCTCACCTGAGCTATGCAACTTGTCTTGCTTATCAAAGTCTGCAAGCAATCTCTGATGGCATTTCTAGTATATAGTGGAAGTATCCAATTGTCTCTAATTTCTCGACGTGAACTCCTGTGCCTGCCTTTGTACACAGATTGATTTTTTTTTTTTGTAATGCATGACTTTTGTAACACACGACTGCTCCTGGGTTTCCCCATCTTCTTTCTAATTAAGCACTGAATTCAATGAGATATTTTCTTTTCATTTAGCAACATGACCCCTGTGGCAACAATACTTAACAGTAATAAAAGTCAGGAACTTCCAGAGAAACTCTGGTTCCATTACTACACACTAAGTAGCAGCAACGGTGCTTTCTCTCTCAAGTTGTAGACAGACAGGTTCAGGGTAACTGGTGACGTTATGTGTGTGTGTGTGTGTGTGCGTGCGTGCATATATATATATATATATAATTATATAAAAATAATATATATTTATATATTGCATATATGCATATATATATATATATATATAATTATATAAAAATTTGTGGTGGGAAGGGAAGGGGGATTTGTGCTTTATTAAATATGTCAATGCATGACTCTTCATTCTGACTTCAGATGACAGCTAACTTTGAAATATCAGGAATTTTCCAAGGGTTTCTCCCTTGTTAGCTTTGGTTCACATTATACTGTTGCCTTTGTTTCACAGTATGGATCATGCCTGCTTCCGCTCCTGGATTCAGAACAAATGCAACCCCCCAAAACCTGCTGGGGAGGGCAGAAAATCAGTGCAAAGAGCTTAGCTATTCCACCCAACAAAGACATTGAGCCCCGGGGCTTCTTTATTGCTCCTTTTTTTTTCTTTCTATTTTCTAAGGAAATTGAAATGCTCTCTATGGTGTTAGATGCTGATGAAACCATCTTGTTTATTTAGCAATCAAATAAAACAATTTAATATTATAGATGTTTCCCTCTTTCCCCAATGAAAGATGAAGCAGCAGGGATCCCCAGGGTAATATTTTTTTTCAATTTGCTTTTCAGTTCTCTCACTGGATTTTTTCTTGCAACTAACCCCACAGACTGATGTGGTAAGCCCTTCATTTACAGGATGCCAAACCCCCTTCTTTCCCATGCAGAGAAATCTGTGATGTAGGTAATTGTCCCCTGAAGATACATAAAACTTCCTTTCACAAGGAAAAAGTATCTGATGATATTGGATAACACTCAACAGTTTGTTACAAGCACTATCAACATTGCAAATGAGAGAATATAAATATTACAAGGAATGCAATATAGGCATTTGCTTTGTAGATAGCAACATGCTTATTATAAGGAGGTTTGTAGCAAATGGAAGGTATCATTGCTCTGACGAAGAAGGAAAATATGATTTCTTTTTTAATTAAGGCATGAAAAAAATTCTATTGACTTCCAGGTGTTTCTTCTGATTTCTACTGTTAAAATGAGACCAGGATTTAGTTCTTAGGGTCTCGGGTCAATGTGTGATGGTTTCACCCTGCAGAGAAGGATGGTCTCTTGGTCAGGGCACTTGGTTCCAGTCTCTGCGCTGTTACAGACTCGTGTGACTTAATGCATTTCACTTAGTCCCTCTACGCCTCAATTCTCCATCTAAAAAAATGGCAATACTAGCCTTCCCCTGCCTTCACAGGGGTGTTCATATAAATATATGAAAGTTTTTGGGAGCTTGGCTACTCCGGTAAACGAGCATATGAAAATAGATGGCAGCCTGGATTTATGATGGTGATGCTTAGGTTCGCTACTCATGTGTTGATGTGCTGCTCAGCACAGTACAAGACACACGTGCAAAAAGAGTGCTCATGCCCGAGGGACTGACAGCCCATAAGGGTGAACGGCAGTGATGCTACAAAAGTACCATGCGCTGCAGATCTTCACAAAGGCATAGAGCCTCAAGACTACCTTTGCTACAACAGCCCAACTCCAGGAGCTTTCTCTGCCTATGGGTGAATTTCTGCATTTCTCTGCCCTCTCCTCTGTTGGTCTGAGCCAGGATTTGAACTTCTGTCTGCAGCACCAAAAACGTTCAGTTTGATCCCCCAGAGTCTTGACTATTTGCCCCCTTTGTAAAATAGGTGTAGATGGCTACTCTACTGTTGATGCACCACACAGTAGATGCCTACTCTGTGTGAATACCTACCCATCGGTATAAAACCAGTAGTACCCAAATCAGACCTAGGAGCAGTAAACCTACCCTAACCCCACAGCATGAAAGGTTGCATCAATAAACCATGCAGGAGCTTTGCATTGCCAGACTCAATAACCCAAGTCGATACTTAATAGAAAGCAGGGAGTGATAATTCCCAGCCTGTCAGAGGCTTATCTGTTAAAGCAAAATTCAGTTAAGTTCCCAATAAATGATTGCTTTTAGTTCTCTTTCTGCTTTTTATCTGATGTTTGCAGTGTACAGGCTTTCCACTCCCAGATAATAGCTTTAAGGATGGGTTATTGTGTTTGGCAGCACTCGGGGCCCAATCCTGGGCGGTACTGAGTACTCTTAGCTTCCCCAACCGTTAATGGGATTTACAGCATCCAGCTTCTCACAGGAGTTGTTTAGCACTTGGTGTGACCACAGGTCAGGGCGGAAGAGCTCAGGGAAGCCTGCTCGGTTATGAATTGCTTTCAGCGAGTGCAGGTTGCTCTCTTGTTATAAGACCGCGTCCTGGTCTTTTATTTGTAGGCAACTGCAGTGTGCTAAACTTAGAAACAACGGTGTTAAACAAGACGCAGAGCCAGGAGACTGGCACTGTGAATTACAAAGCTAGCAAAGCTGGGCCTGTTAAAACTACATTGTGGCTGCCAAGGTTAAAAAGATCAACGGGAGATTCGGTTCTCGACAACAGCACGACAATACGCTACCATCTTCTCCGGCACGGATAACTCCGGCGGCAGCACAGCCCTGGGGCCAAGCTGAAACCCAATTCAGCAAGCTGCTGAGTTCCCACTGACTGGACCCTGTGCCTGGTTTTAACTAGACCTGGTTGAAATAGTTCAAACTTTGAAATTGTGTAACTCCACATTTTGAGCAGAGACTCCCATGAAAATTCAGAAAAAGAGAGCGGAGAAGGTTTTCCCCTCCTTTTCCTGGTTGCTTTTTACATGAGGTTTTGTAACCCCTCTTTAAGAACCATGATGGGCATGGGCTGGGTCATTATACTTACTGAGAAATCTGCATCTTCTGCTCTCAAATGGTCTGCGATATAGTGGACCCCCTCCACCGCCAGCTTCAGGGCAGGGGACATCAGCAGAAGGGGCTGCTCTTTGGTGCTGTGAGCTTTGGCGCCTTGCCCTGACGTGCTGGCGGCTTCCTTCTTTTTGCACTTGCACTTGCAGGGAGAGGGCTTGCGCGGGGACCTGTCTTCATTCAGGCGGCAACGTTGAGAGGCCGGAGAGCCGCTGGACTGGCCGTTGGTCTGGGATGACTCCTCCTGCAGGTAGCAATACTGGATGCTCCTGGATCTACACCGGATGCTCCCTTCCTCATCTTTATTGGGGCTGTACATCTGCTGAACACTTAATGACCTGCTTTTTGCGATGGAGGGAGATTGCGTGTCGCTCAGGGGATGGCTGGGGGGCTGCGGGGAAGAGCAGCTCACCTGCACTGGCTCCTGGTGCAGCACAGAGTACTGGCCTGAAGGTGACTTGCAGACCGATGGGGGCTTGGTTGGCTCCTCGAGATGGGCACAGAGGGAGGCTGTGGGGGATTGCTCATTGTTCTGAGGGCTGTTTGAAGAGGAGGTCACAAAGTTGGGCTCTGCTTCGGTCTCGGACCAAATTCTTGGAGCGTTGGCTATTTTGTGCATGGACTCGATGAGCTTCTTGCAATTGTCCTTCACTGCTGAGGGCCGCTTCATGAAGAGGAGGCGCGGGACCACGTCGAGGAAGATCCTTCTCACCCAGTCTGGCATGGTGTGGGTGCGTGGTGAGCGGTGGTGCACGTTCAGTACAAAGACCGTGATGATGATGGACAAGGTGACAAATATCATGGTGAAGAGCAGATACTCTCCGATCAGGGGAATGACCAGGGAGGTGGAGGGGATGATCTCAGTGATGAGCAGCAGAAAGACAGTCAACGACAGTAGCACGGAGATGCAAAGCGTGATCTTCTCACCGCACTCCGAAGGCAAGTAGAAAACCAAGACAGTCAAGCAGGAGATGAGGAGGCAAGGGATGATCAGATTGATGGTGTAGAACAAAGGCAGCCTCCTGATAATAAAGGAGTAGGTTATATCAGGGTAGATCTCTGTGCAGCACTCGTATTTCTTGATGTTGTAGTTGCCCACGGCATTAATGATGACCCATTCCCCACTCTCCCAGTAGTCCAGTTGGTCCACGTGACTGTGCATGCTCACTAAGTCTATCTTGGCTTTGTCATAGGTCCAGGAGCCAAACTTCATGGTGCAGTTTTGCTGGTCAAAGGGAAAGAAGGTGACATCGATGCTGCAGGAGCTTTTGTAGATGGCAGGAGGTGTCCATTTGATTCTGCCATCGTAAAACAGGTGGGCTTTGGTCAGGTGAGTGACAGCAAAGTCTCCATCCGCACTGAGGGGAAAATGAAATGAAGAAGAAGGGAAAAAAACCAAAGAATCAGAATCCATTCATCCTTTTTGAATCCGTTCACAAACCTTGCAAAATGTGGCTCACGCTTGCAAAATGCCATTCGCAATTCGCACACTTGTGCGCACAAAAGTGCATGCATTCTGAACACCTCATTTGTAAGTGCATTCCTGTGTGTGTGTGTGTGTGTGCGCGCTCGCACACTGAGTGACTGTGCAGCTGTGCAGACAAGTGAGCCAGACTGTGCAGGTCATTTTGAAAATATTGGTTGTTGACAGGATACCGAGATGACTTTACCTTTGAGCACGGGGCCCACTGCCGAGGCGGCCCTTTTAACCACGCACATCAACACGACAAGCCCTTTTAGGACAGGCAGTAAAGAGAACTTCTACGCTGCATATGCATTGTGGTGTTAGGCAGGTGAGTTGTAACTACCTGGCAGGTTCCTCCTTTTGGGGGAAGCTGCTGAGACCTGAGCTCTTGCTAAAAGTGCAGATATAATTACCAGACAGCTTCCAACGAATGATGTCAAAGGCACTTTTCTTTTTTCTCCGTGTGCACCAGCACACAAACAAGCTACACTGCGCATGGAAATTGGGCACATGTACTCAGAGTGGATTAAGAAACCTCGTTGCATGCACAAATGTTCAATTTGCAAGTGCCAACCTAAGCAGGCAAAAACAGCAGGCCTCACCTTGCACAAATTAGGCCCTGAGGTTCAGAACTGGTGCCAGAGGTTTGGCTTTACTTCTCCTCCAAAAGACCAGACTTCCAGCAGCCCAGTGCCCCCTAATGCAGGTGAAGCATGGGTTCAGTACAGACATGGAAGGGCACAACCTTTTTCATTAGTACCAACATGTCTTGCTGTACCTAGGTGCTCCCTGAAGGTTTTCCATCAAATTACTTGGCCAGTTTGGAGCTTGCTTGTGGTAGTATCATGCTGTCAAACATCCTGGCTGTAGGCTATGCCAGATTAATTGTGAGGGTTGCTATAAATAAAGCACTCCAGGGTAATCTTCTAGTCGGTCACTGGGAAAACTAGTGAGAACATCCTACTAATAATGAGAGAAACTCGACTCTGGATCCTCCAGCCACTGAGCTCTGCATGCTTTGTAAACCCTTCCCTGCTCTCTTAACATAGACACCTGTGTTCCTGGACTTGGATCGGCAGGCTTTTCACCGATGACCTGAAACAAACTTGGCTTTTGTCACATTATTTTATCTATAGACTTAAAAGCTAGCAATTAGTTTCTAAGCAACACAGGGAAATCCACCTTCGTTACGAAGTGAAGTTGATTGGCAAAATAGACACTTCTCATATCAAGGTAACACTGGGGACATGGCTGCATTGAGTCCCTGCATGATTTGTGGACTTGTGATACTATTGCTTTAGTGCATTTCTGTCGACCGTGGATTCCCCATGGAGCGGGATGTGAACTACTGCAAAGTTCAGATCTGGCCTCACGCCCAAAATTTGCCTCCCAGGTGGTTTGCATCTGTGAATTTTGGTCTGGGAACATCTCTACTAATAACACAACGAGTTTGCAATGATCTAGTTTAGGGGATTGATCAGGCCTGCAATATATCGTAGGCCTGATCAATTATATTCATGTAATGATTGCTCTATTAGTACCTGGGCCCAGGGAATTCCATTAAGATTTGCAGCTGGTTTACCAAAAATCCTAGAAAATGAGGGTTGAAGGGACTGCAGGAGGTCACATCTAGCTCAAAGCAGGACCAGCCCCAACTACATCATCCCAGCCAAGGCTTTGTCTACCTGGGTCTTAAACACCTCCAAGGATGGAGAGTCCACCACCTCTCTGGGGAACCTGTTCCAGTGTTTTTCTACCCTCCTAGTGAGAGAGTTTCTCCTAATATCTAACCTAAAATCGTCTTGCTGCAGCTGGAGCCCATTGCTCCTTGTCCTGTCATCTGCCCCCACTGAGAACAGTCCAGCTCCATCCTCTTTGCAGCCCTCCTGCAGGGAGTTGAAGGCTGCTATCAAATCCCCCTCGGTCTTCTCTTCTGCAGACTAAATAAGCCCATTTCCCTCAGTCTCTCCTCACAAGTCATGTCCCCCGGCTCCCAAACCATTTTCGCTGCCCTCCACTGAACTCTCTCCAACTTGTCCACCTCCTTTCTGTAGTGGGGGACCCAAAACTGGACACAGGACTCCAGATGTGGCCTCCCCAGTGCAAAATAGAGTAAGAAAATATTCTTACATCCTGGGCAACTCAACAAATCAGCAACCCCTACAATTCACCACTCTCTTGAAAGCAAGATCTTCCTTTCATGTATGCAGTTTACCACATTTTTGTAAAGCTAGTCAACAGATCTTGACCTGAAAATACAAAAAAAATCATGGATTTCTTGAATTTAGCTGTTCCTGTCATGCTTCTTTCTTTTTCTAAGCAAGATGTTCTCATTTTGTAGGTATTTGCTTTCCTGTTATGGCAAAATGTTGTGTGCCGCAAACTGATACCCTGGCCAAGAGTCTTGCTTCTCACCTCAATGCCGTCTAACATTGAGTTCAGCCTGACAGCCCGTGTCCCCGCCTGTTAGGAAGGGGCGCTGGGGAAGATGTGGCTCAAATCATTTCTTCAATGGTCAGAGCACTTTAAGTTCCCCATCTATCTCAGCCTTGCTAATTATTCCAGCTGCACTTTCGAAAGTCAGCCGTGTGCCCCAACGGATCCTGCCTGTGCCATTTATCTTGCAACCAAAGACGAACAAAAGAGGTCTAATCCCAGCACGCTCTGCTATTGTACTGCTGCTGTCGCAGCACATCCGAGCGCTGAAGCAGGGGAAGCATGCTGTCAGCTTCCCAAGAAGAGTGGCTGCAGCCTGGATCGGCTCCATCTGCAGAGATTTTTGGCTGGAAAAAAGTGGTTTCTATCTATAACCCAGTTAATAATTTATCTCCAGTTTTTAGCAGACTTTTTCTGCCCCCACTTAGGATTGTTGTTTATTTATTAGCATTGTTGCTTGTCAGAAATCTGCATGCCGCGATGTTTCTCCTGTTTTTGGACTCCAGCCACAGCCATAGAAGACCTAAACTAATGCCCCAAACTTATCCACAAAGATGCCACTGCGCTGGTTTTATTGCTCTCTTTTACGCTAGCCATATGCGACTCTTTCAAAGCCATGGACGTTTTCACACCGCTGGGTGTCTGAATTCCTGCTTGCCATTTTTAGTTTAATTTTAAAAAATCAGTGAAAGCAAAAATTGCATCTGGATCCAGATTGCTTCTAAGTTTTTGCATCTGATACACGGATCCTGGTCCAAAATTATTTTTGAAAGACGCAAAGCCATATCTGTGCACACATGCATGGAAGGACTGAGAGCTTTGTATGGGTGAGATTCCTAGAATCGCAGAAAACCAGAGTTGGAAGGGACATCGCATCGAGTCCAACCCCCTGCTCAAAGCAAGACCGGCCCCATCTAGATCACCCTGGCCAGGGCTGTGTCTAGCCAGGTCTTAAAAGCCTCCAAGGATGGCGGTTTCATAACGCACATGCCGTTAAGTGCCTAATTTTCAAGTGCAAATGATAAATCTGTGATTTGAGGCACAACTACCTGAGTAGCTGGCACATTTAGAGTGATCCTCTGTACAAGTTACCTGCCTGATTTGCACGCTTGATACTCTGGCTCGCTATCTTTGTGAACTCAGGTGTGGGGGGGGTTTGAGCCTGCAAAAAATAGCACTTGCCAAATCACCAGGTCATTTTTAGGGAGTGCTGTCTCCATTTCTTTCAACACCACTACCGAACCCAGCTCAAAGGCGTTCGATATGGCTTCTTCCCCAGGCCACCATCAAACTGAATGAGAAATGCAAGCTTTCTGATATCAGAGAAATGCAGAGCGGTAAAGGCCTGCCGGGCTAATTGGGACTTTTAACAAGCACATTCGTTTCTGCAGCCTCCCTGAGCTGGGACAAGTGGCAGGCTAAATGCTTAATTTGAATTTGTGGAGCCTGGGATTCAATAAAGGGACTGAATCATTTGTTAGTGTTTCTGACATTGCCATCTACACACAGCATCAGAGGGGAGGGATGGCGGATAGGGGGGACACTGAAGACCAGATTCAAGCTCTCCGCATCTATTTTCCTTTGCACCATGTGCTCAACATGGAGCCACCTCTCATCACTCTTCAGAGGCCCTAACAGCTTTGAGTTCATTCATTTCCTGGCATCTCTTTTACCTCCAACCCATCTTGCAATCTGCACAAAACAAGCCCAGCTGCTGCAGCGAAGATGCCTTTTGCCCTGCATTCAGCAGCACCAAAGTGCAACAGCAGCCAAGGGACAAGGTGGCATCCTACGTCTTGAGACTAGCACAGGTGGGTCTTCGAGTCTCCAAGCACCGTGCTCGAGTGATTCAACTTCAAATCCCTGGTGTCGGCTGTGGGGGCATCAAGGTCCCTGCTTTGCACATTGGGAAACAGTGGCACGGAAAGGTTTCCAATACCCTTGCTTAGATTATTCACATCTCAGTCCTACTCCGTAACCGTACTGAGAGGCCACTCAGGAAATAAAGCTCCAGTAATGGTGGTGGGATGCAGCCCTTGGTCCTTTGCCTTGGGCACAGAGGTTGTCTTTGGCAGGGACGGTGCAGAAGTCCAACCCTTGAGTGTCGGCTCTGTGCATTAGCCATGCAATGATCCCAGCAGGATCACTAAAAAAACCCTGTTATCTCAGCTACTTTTGTAGGGAAGTTTATTATTGACTAAGCAGGTTTTTTTTTTAATTAAAAGCATCTGCTGTCCACAGCGTTGGGGTTTTTTTTGTGTGTGTTCATTAAAAAAGAACAAACATCAAAAACTTTTGGCTTTCTGGCTCTCTGACAAATTCTGAACTTTTCCAATGAGCTTTTTTTTCACCCAGCGAGCCCTGGCTTTCGGCTCTCTTTTGATTGAAGAAAGGCATTACTGCTATTCCATCCAAAGAACTCCACTCCTTTGCTATTCACTTCCCTACTACTCATTT